TTGTTTAGTTCCGCTGACCAAGTATCAAAAGAGTAAAGATGCCGAATACCACCATCAGGGGAGCATATTTTGAGAGATTTTGCACTTTAGAAATGCAATTTATAAGTACTAATCCATTACCCTTCCCTTGACAGAACATTAATCTTAAGCTTGTGATGAGATGAAAGAAAAACATTTAGAAAAAAAAAAAAAGCAAAACTAGCTGGACGCCAGTGGCTCACACCTGTAATCCTAGCTATTCAGGAGGCAGCGATTAGGAGAATCATGGTTTGAAGCCAGTGCTGGGCAAATAGTTCCTGAGACCCTATCTCGAAAAACCCATCACAAAACAAGATTGACGCAATAGGTCAAGTGGTAGAGCTTCTGCCTAGCAAGTGTGAGGCCTGAGTTAACACCCCGGTACCACCAAAAGAAAAATTACACAAAAGAGAAGGAAGTTATCCTAAGGGAAATGATCCTAATGGCGCTACAGGGGAAGAATGAGTTTGCTTTTATAATGAAAATCTGTGGCCTTTTAACAAGCTAGAAGGTAACTTAGGTAAACACTAATCATTTCCTTGTTTCTGCAACCCATTTTTCATGGAAAAGTTTAGATAAAGGAATTAGGGCTGAGAAGGAAATACTGGACTTGGGAATTCTAAGACTTCATTTTAAAAATAAATTCTGTTAAAAATTGACTTAAAACATGCTACAAGGAGCTCTGGTTAAAAGCACTTTATTGATTACAGTATCAATTCACAGCAACATTTCACAGAGCAGCTGTACAAATAAAGGAATGAATCACTAAATGAAAGATCTATGAATACTGGTAAAATCATGGCACATCCACAGTTTATAAGGTTTAAACTTTTGTAAGAGGTTTTAACCTAACATGTTTACTTCTGTAATTAGATACACCACTGACAGTTATAGTTGGCCACAATTGTGTAGAAACTAGTCTAGGTGAAGAAAAACATTTTCAATGACTTAACAGAAAAATATTTTAACCAATTTTAAGGACACTGAGATGTGGGTGCCTTTGGATAAGAAAATGCAAATGTTCAGATGCGTCTTAGAAAACAATAGGATAGAGCACCATTGTGTAACAGACAGAAGAGGCTTGAAATGTGTCCTACCAACTATCACTAGGATTCTGTTAACTAAAAAATAAATGCTTTATGATATTTAAAGTTTTGTTGGGCACATTTAACACCAAACAACAGTCTGCCCACCCCACCTCCCAGTAATGCTGCATTCTCATAGTTGTGTTTATAAAATCAGCCACTGGACTTTAAGAAGAAGGCTGTTAGAAAATTTTATCAACATGCAAAACATTTATTAAATACAAGGTATACTATCATCATTCCTAGAGTAATAAATTTTTACAACTGCTAGCTTAGACATTCTATAAACCATTTTAATGAGTACCTATTGTAACCAATAAAATATGTCAATGAATTTGAGGCTACTCAAGACAAACAGCAAAACAATCTGAAGTGTACTTCATACTGCACCTAGTTCAATTTAAGATATCAGCTACTCATTGTGTTACCTTTCTCATAACAAAGGTAATCTTACCTATGGATGGCTTTAAAAATTCTAACAGAAGTTAAGAAATACTTTTAAATTAGAAAGAGAAGCTGAACATAGTTCTTAATTTAAAAAATTTTTAAAGCCCGACAAAGTATTTTAAAAAGAATATTCATTGCTAGTGATGACAGGCCTATCTGGGGGATTGTTTAATCAGTTTTTGTGAGTTAAACTTAACAATAAACAAGTATTGTATTACAATTTAAAATCTTAGACATTCACATCAAAGCCTAAAGTTCCCTGAACAAGTTCACTCTTAAGACACTTAAATTCTTATTAAATCCAAGACATAAACAGAGTTACAATAGTTCAGTAAAAACAGCACAGCATTTTTTAGTGATATAAATTATTATTGTCTCTTAGAGAAATCAAGATCATTTCTCTTCTAATAGATTAAAATTCCTTGACATCCCAGAAGCATTTACATCCATTATCTGATGGAGACTAGTTTACTATCACTAGTAATCAGCTCATCCAAATTGAAAATGGAAGTTGCTTACTAGGTTCTCTTGCTGTTGAAATAGAAAGTTCAAATCAACATGAGACAGGGAGGAAGCCTTGGGTATTAATAGCACAAATGCCCAAAATGAAGCTTTGTCCAAATTGAAGATGGCCTGGCTGATACCAAAAACTTCTGTCTTGAGTAGGGCTTTGGGTGATTTATTAAGCCACATGGTTATCATATTCTTTTGGAAAAGAATATGTGCCTTTAAAATATTCTTGCCAGAGGTGTCTGTGCTGGTATATCCCAGCTTCTCAGGAGGCTGAGGTAGGAGGACTGTTTGAGGCCAGCATAAGCTACAAAGCAAGATATGTCTTTTAAAAAAAAAAAAGCCAAATTTCAAGAACTTTTATTTCATGTGATATAAAGAGTCCACACATCAACCTGCTGAGGCACATTATGTTTAAATGTTTCTTAAGTGGTTAAAAAAAATTAGCATGTACTAGATAACTGTAATGCTCTTGATGCAAATTTTTTCAGTCCAAGCTATACAATGTATCTACAAATTATACATTCTTACTCATTTCAGAAAGTCTTGTGCACAACCGAATTAGAAACAATCAGCTGAACTCAAATAGCAAGCAAACACAAATACATTTAGCAACTGGAACCCCCATCACTAGAAAGGATGGGTTTAACCAGTAAAGTAATATTGTGGTAATGAGATTACTTAGTCACCAATTGTCCCTGGGTACAATTAGCCATAAATGTGTTTGTTAGTGGTTAGTTTTCAGTTGCCTAGAACATAGGAGAATTGCTTGGAATTCCTCTCTACACAAATTTATGACATGAAAATGTCACTTTAAGTGCTCAGTGGTACAGCACTTGCCCAGCATCTCTATTTTGCCTCTCTGACTAAAATATTACTATGATAACATTCAAGCAGAAGAGATACTCATGTAGTTTTTTTTTAATATGTGATAGAAATGCTTTCCTGAAAGGGAGCTTGGAATGAATTACTGACCTACATGGTAAACTTCCATACACTTGCACTGCTTTTGGGGAATGAATACATTGCTTATCTCAGGCTAGAGGTGTAGTAGCTCAGTGGTAGAGTGCTTTCCTAGTATAGCATGCACAAGGCCCTAGGTTTGATCCCCAGCACTACAAAAATAAAATAAAAAAGTGCCTATCCCAAAGAGCTGTTCTTTATGAAGTGATACAAATAGTTCACAAGTAAACATTAATAGCAAAAAGTTCATAGAAATCTTAACAAAACACAAGTATACATTCACACTTGCCACTTACAATACTGTAATTTGTTCCTGTATCTTAATTTGCCTCTATTCTCTTTCTAATATCAACTGATCTTAAACAAAATTGACACTGATGTAAATTACACTTGATGCATATACCAACACATTCATAATTTAAAAATGAAAATTCATAGGTATAATTTGGGAGTTTCTAGGTAAGGGTTACATGTGATCAAAAGTTAACAGAACTATCTTAACAGTAACTTACAGTTTACTAAGTTACAAAACACAATGCACTTTTATTTATCAAAATAACCCGTGACCAGCATCAAGCAAGACTAACAATCTTCTGTTGTCAATTATTTATATTTATTTCTAAGAGAAAACCAAAGAGGAAAAGTTGGGGTGGAGGGCATTTAGTAGGTAGATACATTATTATAACATTGACAAGTAAAATAACTGCTTGCTTGTAGCCTTCTGATGCCTCTGAAAATGGCCCTAGGAATTTTTTGGCTTTACAGTGGGGTCACTTAGATCTAGACATTCTCTGAAGCAAAACCACTTAAAAACTATTATTTTGTGTTAAAGAGAGAAATATTACAGGAGAACAAAAAGCATTCATTTTAAGAAATCTGAGGGGCTGGGGGCGTAGCTCAGTGGTAGAACATCTGCCCATCACTCATACCATGGTGAGGCCCTGGATTCCATTCCCAGCACCATCATAAAGAAATTTTAGAGCACAATAGTGTACATTAGTTCAGATTTTATATTACATAAAACTCATAAAGCCACTTTGTTATGACTGTAAATCAGTGCTAGTGAATGGTTAAACTGTATGCATCCCTCAAAGATGTTCGTGTGGGGATGAGCACTGGAGAGCACACTGGGAAAGACTCCAGATGGAGGAAGAGTCCAAATTCTATCAAACTTCTGAAATATGAGTGCACTTTACAAACTTAGTTCCACAATATGAAATAAATAGCGAAGTCCAACTGTTCAGAGGGCTACTCAAAGTGTCAGGTGATCATTACTGGCATTTTGTGTGTGTATGTGTGCCACAGTTTGAACTCAGGGCCTCATACTTGCTAGGTAGGAGCTCTGCCACTCCTACCACCCTGTCATGACCAGCCTTTTAAAATAAGAATTATATGCTAGTATCTACTTTTTACTGATACAATAAATTACAATGAAGTTTCTAAGGAATATCCAAAATGTCTAAATGAAACCTATGGGCTTCATGTCATCTGCCCCCATCAATGGACTGCAATGAGAACTCAGATTTCTAGCAAAGGACACATGATAAACTAATGACTTGCCTCAGAGGTACCTTGCCTATCAATACTCTTAAATGTTGACCAACCGGGATCTCTTTTAGAATAAAAAGCAATGGCAGAATTCAAGGGAACTTCCTTCAAACACAGTAAACACACATATATAGGATCTCTTCCATCTGTTACTGTGCCTGTTTCTTCAATTTTACAAAACTCAAAAATGTGACATTCCTTATGTATACAAAGATTAAAATGTAGTTCTTAACAAAATGAAAACACAACAATCATCTGCTATAAAGTGTACATTCTATTCTACACAGAGAAATAATTACTCAGTACAAGCCAAACTCTGTCAGGGTTAAATTAACCCAACTACTCAAATTAATACATTGGTCCTTTTGATCTCAATAAGTACCTTTGACTTGTTGGGTATATTTTTCCCCACTTTTTTTTTTTTTTTTTGTAGTTTACTGAAATCTTCTTTTTGTATATAATAATCTCAATAGAAAAATCTTCACTTGCAAATGTAAGGTAGAATTTGTTTTTCACAGCTCTAGGCTGTAGCATTGATTTCTCCAGATATCAATGGAGAACAAAACATATGTATGACACAGTTAATTCCAGATTCTCAGAAAACTGTCCCAAGACCCTGTTGCCACAGCCATGCCATCATCAGTTACACCTAAACAGCTGACACGGTTGTCATGACCCGCAAGGACACCTAAAAAGAAAGTTGAGTGCAAAGTTAATAACTGTAGTTTTAGAAACAAAAACATATGTACATTAAGATCTAGAAGGGCCTGGTGGCTCACACTGTAATCCCAACTGGTCAGGAGGTGAGATCAGGAGGATCATGGTTTGAGGCCAGCCCAGGGAAAAAAAGCAAGACTCCATCTCAACCGATAAGCTGGATGTGGTGTTACATGCCTGTTAGCCATTTCACAAGAGCCATATATAGGAGGATCATGATCTGAGGCCAAAGCAGACTCTACCCAAAATAAAATTAAGCAAAGGGGCTTGGGGGCAGGGGGTGGCTCAAGTAGTAGAGCACCTGTGTAGCAAATGAAAGCCCTGGAGTTCAAACCCCAGAACTGCTAAAGGGGGAAAGGGGAGAAACATCAACAACTGTATAGGACATAAACCCACAAGGACAGTGAGAAGATGAGAGCAGGCAACAACAACAAAATTTTGTAAACTAGATGGTAACAAGTACTTCAAAATGAAGTGCCCTAGTAAGCCAAGAAACAAAACTACACTTCAGTGCCTCCAAAGGGTTCACAGTATGGAATCCTGGTATCTCTGGAACCATGTAGGGCAAACAGGGCAAAATGAAGTTGCACTGAAAGTATTCAGAATCAGGAAGACCCCCAATGTTCTTCACACAACAGAATCAGGTGGCTGCTCACCCTGCACTTGGCATAAGACTTGAGATTTACTCCTGGGAGAGGGGAAAACAGAGTCTCCTGACTGGCAGAAAACAGACACATCTGAGACTGGTGAAACTGCTGAAAATGGAGAATCAAACTGGCTTACCTAGAGCTTATGCCTTCCAGGTAAAAAGTGGAGGACCTATCTCAGGGGAACATGGCTAGCCCAAAGGAAAAAAAAAGTGCAAGGCTGGCCTCATCCTCCTCAGTGACCAGACTGCCAACACAGCCAACTAGGTGCCCAGGCTTCAAAGTGCCTTATCCTTAAGAATGAATAAAAAGGCTAAGAAACAACAGACTTCAGGAAATATTCTAAAAATAAGGCCAGGGAACTAAGAAATAAGGAAAGGAGTGGGAAAAACAACTTGGAAACACAAAAGACAAAAAGAAATCTTCAAAAAAAAATCCCTTTCACTAACAACCTCAGAGAAACAAAGGACATCATTCATGAAAAAACAACATGGATACCATAAAAGAGGCCAAAATAGCTCTCAAATTAAAAAGATAGAGCTAAAACTTAAAGAAGGGTGAAAGAATATGTGAGGATTTCTCTCAGAACACAAAGGGAAAAAAAAGAGAGAAAACAGAAGAAAATATAATTTAAAAAAAAAAAGACCACAGGCATCATGATGCCTACTTGTGATCTCGGCACTTGGGAGGCTGAGGTAGGAATATCTCAACTTCTAGGCAAGCCTGGGTACACAGCAAGAAACTGCCCTCTCACCTCCCTAAAAAAAGCCAAAGGATCAACCCAGGATTTTCAACATCAACATAACAGAAATTTCAGAAAAGAAAACAATGGAGAAGAAATACAATCAGATAAATCTTGCCAAATTTCCCAGTGTTACAGGGTAGGGCTTTATGGGTCAGAAAAGTCTACAAAGGGCTGGAGATGCAGCTCAGTGACAAAGCACTTGCCTAGCATGATCAAGGCCTTGGGTTCCATGTGCAAAAACAAAACAAAAAGTTCACTGATTACTCAGCACACTGGATGAAAATGGATCCAAAGACAAAACTGGTAGAAAGTTTTAAGGATTCACTGGTGAGAACTAGTGAAACAGAACTAAGTCAAAAAATTTAAGAATAAAAAAAAACATAAGCTGTATAGCAAAAGAAGTCATAGTATTCCTCATCGCTCAGCAGTAAATAGTTCATAAAAAGCTGTAATTATGTAAACACTGAATGTTCTTGTTTGTACGTAACAAAAGTTAGTATGCAGGAAAAACTGGAGGATGGGAAGGATATGGCTGTTGTGGGAGGTAAACCCTTGTTATCCATGATGATAGTAATGCCTAAAAGTTTAAAGAAAAAAAAAATCAAGTGACAGCAGAAAGGCATGTTCTTTAAAGATATGAAAGGAAGTCACTAAAAGCTCTTAAAGTAGTACTTTGAGAAGCAGAAAATAGGGGTTCGGATCAAAAGGACTGTTGTGTTTTGGTAATGAACTATATAGAACCACTTGATTCCTAAAGTATAATTTTAAAATATAATTTTGATTTTTTTTAAAAAAATTAAAACCTCTGTGTTTTAACTTGGTCCCAGTATGGTTTAATGTATATTTTAATATCATGGAACCAACAGGGTTGGAACCAAGGATGAGGCTAAGGGAAGGCAATGGGTCTATGTCCTGTCCCTTATAAGATCTGTTCCAGAAAGGCAACCCCCAGCAACTACCAACACCTGTTCTAAGAAAACTGTGATTTACAAAGGACCACACTGAGTCAGATTCATTATTTATCTTCATACCACATATGAAAACATTATAAGGACTTAAATGTTTCTCTTCAGAAATAAAGGCGCACACTGTGCACTGTCATTGCACTCTAAGGGTAACAAGAGTGAGCATGAACGAGAACCTCCATGTTACCACTTTGTGCAGCTCCAGGCTGTGTGCAGGGACCTTGAAAACTATTGATGAACCTTTTCAGGCTTGCTAAAACTCAGAACCTCGTTCACACTTATTTACTAACCTGCACGATCGCCTTTCAGCGTGTCCCACACGTTACAATTAAAGTCATCATAACCAGCTAGCAGGAGGCGCCCACTTTTTGAAAAGGCTACAGAAGTGATTCCACAGATGATATTGTCATGAGAATACAGTAATAATTCTTGGTCTGCACGGAGGTCAAACAGCCGGCAAGTAGCATCATCAGAGCCAGTGGCAAAGGCATATCCATTTGGGAAAAACTAGAACGAAAGCAATGAATGCTTTTTCCACAGATGTATACAAAAATCACAGAAGGCAGTGTAATTAATTATACAGAGACTGGCAAGGCAGATCTAGATTACCAATTTTACCACTTACCTTATGAGTGGTCACAGGGTACTAAATTATTTTTCCTTTGTTGAGGCTGGGTCTCCCTATATAATGCAGGGTAGCCTCAAACTGATGCTTTTACTTCTGCTATATAACTCAGGTTGGTCTCAAGCTGGTGATCCTTCTACCTCTGCCTCCCAAGTACTGGTGGTATAGGTGTGTACCACCACGCCTAAGATTTTTAATATTCTGGACTTTAGTTTTAGTTTCAGAGTTTGGACTTAATGAAATAATTTGCAAAGTACACAGCCCATTGTTCAGCACATAGCAAGTGTTAATAAATATTGGCTCTCGCCCTCCACATGTTCTGTTAAAACATTTAAGGCAAGTATTACTATTTAACAGAACATGTGTCTATGTATGTCTGTCTGTGTTCCTAAAGAAATAATTCCAAAATCCTACTATGAGAAATAAATAGGAAAGATTTAACAAAAAACACAAAACATCCCAATTATACAAGGTAAGCAACCAATAAAGAAACTTATGCATTCGTTTTGAATAGTATTTCTCAGGTATTGGCACAACATTGATTTTTTTTTCAGAGAAAAATCACATTTTTTATACATGTATTGGCCAACTGCACTGCTTTTGTGAGTTCATTACTCATGCCCTTTGTACATTTTCTTCCACTGGGCTGTTAGCATTATGGCTGCAATTGTCCCTTTGTTTGAATAATGTTAATATTAGTCTGTTTTATTTGTTTACTGCAACTTCACAGTTTATCATTTGTCTTGTAATACTGTTTACTTTTAAAAAATAAAACTTGAATAATCAAGTTTATCTTTTCTTTTGAGATTTCCTTCATTGCTTTATGAATAAAGTCCTTCCCAGGTTATTAACTGATAGATGTTGTACTTTCTTCTAATTCCATTTTTACATTTTAATTTTATTCATCTAGAACTTATATGACAAACAGCACTCAGTACAATGATCTAACTTAATTTTCTTATCAGTTAAGCCATTGTCCCAGTGTGAATTAACTTCTCTACTGACTTGCTGCTACATCATTTGCTACTAAATTTCTGGCAACAATCTTGGTTTGTTTTTTTTTTGCATACTTGGAATTGACTCAGGTCCTTGCACATGGTCGGTAAATGTTCTACCACTGAGCTACATCCTAGCCTTAGGGTTTTAAGGTAAGTTTGAGGGATAAATAGTTGGATCAATGGAATGTAGTTCCAGTTACTAAATACAAATATTTACTAGCAGTGTTTATGATTCTCTTCATGAAGAACTGTACATTTGGGGGCAAATTTATTTTTATTTTGTAATTCTTGTTGTTTTCAATAGGATTTTTCTTCCTTTCTATTTTCTAACAAGTTATTATTGGTACAGTAAAGCCACTGGTTTTTAAAAGTTTTTATAATCCAGAAAATACACCAAACTTTTTTGGGGGGATTTCTAGGTAATGAAATGTGCCATCTGCCAATGTTTTTTCTGCTTCCTAGTGGTATCTACTGGCTAGAAGTTTCAGAGCAATGGTGACAGTGGTATTTGCTGTCTTAGAATGCCTAGGTTGAATTTCACTAAGTCCTTCGGGTGCTAATGACAGTGTTAATAGGCTCTTGGAAATGCAAACACTTATACCTCTAATGCTATTTAGGATGGTTAAGACTGGTCCCAGTGGAGACTCTCCACACCAAATGAGGGCATGCTCTTCCTTTTCAAATTCTCCATATTGCGAACCTCTAGCTAGAAAGTCTTCCTTCCACCTACCAAAGCATCCAATTCAGTCATTCCTGGCTTAAGAAGGCCCTGTGTAAACTTTACCAACCCTTGTCTGCTCATACACTAGTGCTTCTGACCATTCCCTTCCATTTTAACAACCAGTAAACACTCTCTCGGTTGTTCTTTTGCAGGAAATTCAACAGCATCATCTACACTCAATTTTAACAGAACCCATTTGTTCTCTATGGCAGCAGAGAAGGAGAAACCTACAATGCAGCACAAAATACCCAGTCCAGAAGATCTTAGAGCCTGTGGGGTGGAGCATGCAAGCACTCTGCTCAAGGGGTGGATGACCTCACACCCTTCCACATTTCACTTCCTCAGCCACAAGTGGATCTACTATGGTTTGACTTCTGAACATAACATTCTAAACAGTGTGAGAAATTTCACTGTTAAATTAAAATCACTGCTGCTTACAATTTAAAAGTGAAATATAATAATGGTGGTTCTAATTCCACCTGAGGGGGGGAAAAGGGAAACACACACAAGATATTTTTTTGAACCATTTGATTCCAAAAGGAAGTTTCGGTGTATACTAATATTTTAATAAATATGGTACTGATGTCTTGGACAAACAAACAAACAAAAAACAATGCAGAGGGAAAAAATTAATCACTGTAAATTCACTATTTTAAGAGATTGAAAAAGAAAAACCATAGGAGCACTTGCCTAGCATGTGTGAGGCCCTGGGATCAATGCTCAGTACCATAGAAGCAGAAACAATACTGTTTATCTCAACAGATAGAGAAAAAGCACTGATAAAACTGAATACTCATTTCTGCTTTAAAAATTTAGTAATTTAAGGCTGTGTGTGGTGGTGCATGCCTGTAATTCCAGGTATCTGGGAGGCAGAGAAAGGAGGATCCTGGTTTGAGGCAAGCCCAGGCAAAAGCTAATGAGACTCAACCTTAAAAACAAGCCAGGTGTAGTGGTGCAGTCCTGTGGTCCCAGCTACTTAGGAGGCAGAATAGGAGGATCACCGTCTGAGGCACACCTAGGCAAAGTTAGTGTGCAAACCCTAATATGAAAAACTAAAAACAAAAGGATTTGGGGCTAGACTCAAGTGAGAGAGCACTTTCCACATTGGGAAGAGTGATGGGGTGAGAGCTGAGGAGGCAGGTTTGCCTGTTCTAAAACTCTATTATTCTAACCAGGCTGAGGTAGAGAGGGGAAATGAAACATTTACTTTCTCTGATGTTGTCTACAATCATATAAAAGCAGCTTTCAACATGTGAGTAACAAAAACTTACAAATTTTCTACAAAAAAATCTTCTAGTCAAACGGGAATATATTGCACACCTATCATTGTCAATTATGGTAGTTTTGGAAAAATCTAGTCTTATCGACAGACTTTGGCATCTGATTTACACAGGGCCATTTACCTGTAAGTAGTGTCTTCCATTCTCCTAACACTGCTCCAATTCTCACCATTTGATTGCCATCCAAAATGCCATTTTTTCTTTACTTATAGACATGTGACTAGTCAACCCTCATATATATGCTGAGTGGCTTAATCCCGTGGTTATCTGTTTGGGTTTTTAAAATTCAAGGTAGGTAGCTTAAACAATTTACATTATTTACTAAACATCTAATACCTGTCATTTAGTCTCCACCGCTGTGTGATGCAGGTAGCATATTATCCTGGTATGAAAAACTCAGGAAAGTGGCTCACAAAGATCGAGTGTCTGAACTAGTCTCAAGACAGCTGGCAACTGGCACTATTCGATCTTGAGTTTGGCTAACCTCAAAAACGTTAGTCTCTTTATACTGAATAGCTCCCTGTTCCTTCCTTACTGGTCTCTCTGAGTTGCTGTTCTCTGAGGCCCTAGACATATAGGACATTTTTCTCATCTAATACCTGGTGAACATCCATGAACTGCCTGTCTGCTCAAGATAACCTAGCGCTCTAATTTTGGAAATAAACTTTTATTTCCCCTGCAAATAAAGACCTAGACCTACGGATTAAACTTTTTAACATCAAACCCTATCATTTGAGGAATTCAGTGTTAAAATAGCACATTATAAGAATCCTTGAAAGCAATTTGTTTTCAAAATCATACCAGAGAATTCAGCACTTTAAATTCATAACACATTTTCTTTGAAAAAAAATGCAATTCACTTACACTGACAGCATTAATATCTGAGATGTGTCCTGTGAAAGACTGTCTACACATTCCATCTCGGATATCCCATAATTTGGAAGAGGCATCGCAAGCACCAGAAACAAAAGTCCGCATGTCAGGACTCAGGGAAAGACTCATCACATCCCCAGAATGCCCAGTGAACGTGGTGGTTTGCTGGGCAGTTTCGATGTCCCACAAAGCGCTACAGTTAAAAATAAACAAAAATATGTCATGACCCTATCTCTTCTTATGTTAGTTCCTAGTAAATGCACCCCAAGATCAGTGTTCTGGAATAAACTTACCAAGTTGTGTCTCCTGAACTTGTAACAATTTGGCTGTCATCTAAAAAGCGACAGCAGGATAAGTAGCCTACAGCATAGAAAATAGCAAATTTTAGGTTATCATTGATCAAATTACTGTTACCATATGAAATATTATTTTAAAAAATATATCTGGACAATAAGTGTCAGTATGATCTACAATTCTGCTTTTAATAACTTGTAATTCTCCACTGACTGTAACTAAACTTTGTCAGCAAATTCTTCTAAGGTTGGTAACATATCAACAGTGTACTGGCCACTCTGAAAATGACAAAGTTGAGTAAGCCATGGCCCCATCACTTGAGACGGTTACCTATGGAAGGAGCATGCTACTGTACACAACTGCAATCCATGGCAGACTGTGCTAACCACTTCGGAGAAAAACCTTAAAAAGTACTGTGAGAAATTAGAACCTCATCAAGGAAAGGTTTCTGAAATGTGCCATTTGAATACTTAACATTCATCGATGTTTCAAAATATGGAAATGCAGAGAAACACCTTTCTAAATATTTATAAACGTATAATTAAATAGTAGTGCAAAAATGTAGCTGGGTAGAAAGCAGATGGGTGGCAATAAATTCCTAATTTGTTGAATTATGGTGTTTATACTGGCAAATAAAGCAGTACCCTATCACACAGTGAAAACTATTCAATAATGTATCCCAATGCACGCTTTCAATTACATAATTGAGTACACATGCCACAATCCCATCATTTTTCACAAGGGATTGTATTTGCTTTCTTGTGTTTTTTTCATTGTTTGGGCTTTTTTTTTTTTAATAGCAAATTCTATTTTTACAAAGACAATAGCAAGATCCCATCTGAAAAATAAACACTGAAAGAAAAATAAAATTATGGGGGCTGAGAGTGCATTTCCATGGTGGAGCATATGCTTAGCATGCGAGGGTCTTAGGTTCAAGTCCCAACACCAAAATAAGATATTAAAATAACAAAATTATGGTTATCACATGTATGACTTACATGTTATTATTTTCCTAATTCATAGTAATTTCTACTTTCCTCCAATTGACACTGATCCTTTAGGCCAGCCTGGCACGATTTGTCCTGCGTCCTTGATCAGGGCATTCTAGAGAAGAACTGGCAGGAAAGGAGGCTGGAGAGGAAAGATGCTCACCCGTGTGACCTGGCAACTCCCGGCTCACTCTCACATTTCCCTCTCTGGTTTTTAAGTTGTATATAGAGCAGATGTTGTCCAGGCCACCACAGGCAACGTAGTTACCCGAAGGAGCATAGGCACAGGTCATCACCCAGGAGGACCTCAGCGGAATGGCATGCATCTGTGACACAAACAAGCACGCAGAAACTACTACTGAGGAAAGTGACAAGAGCAGCCAGCTAGTTCTTAAACCTATTTACGATGAAGCGAATGTTACTGAAAATTAAGCCTATCTAAGAAAAATAAACCAAACAAAAACATAATGGCTTGAGAAAGTAAACAATGAGAATTAAAATACCAAACTGAAAATGTCTATTTTTTGTGCATTTTCAAGTCAGAGTTAAGAAGTGTTCTTTAGAAATAATTCTTTTAATAGAAGCGAGGCTGTAAGGATGTTTTAATGCTAATACAGTCATTTGAAAAATTAAGTGTAAAATGCTAGAAGACACTTTTAGTAAGATTCTTTTGTTTTTGCAGTCATGCTCAAAAGGGGAATTTCCTCCAACATAACACTGAACAATAAAGATGGGTAACAAGTATTAGAGTCAATTAAAATGGTTCTTCTATGAATGACAACACTAGGATCTCATTTGAATAATGGTGACAGTTTTGCATTGATCTAGTCACATCTGTCTGGTGCCTTGTTACCCTAACACCAATCCTTTGCAGGTCACATGGAAAGATTTACAGTATATGGGTTCACCAAGGCAGGGTATCAACATACTACTATGCTCTCACTTAAACTAAAATAATATTTTAGAGGGCATAATTTTTTGCTTTAGGAATATATGGTTGAAAGAGACACATTTAATTTCAATTAATACAGAAAAACTGTTATATCACATAATTATATTAGCTGGCTTTAAAATCACAGTCAGGCTGGGGGTGTAGCTCAATGGTAGAACATTGACTCCTAGCATGTGGGGGAGCCTGGGTTCTATGTCCAGATTGAAAGAAAAAAACAGGCTGAAATTATTATGTCACAAAATATTATTTTCAAATGTTTAATGAAATACTGCTATGAACCCAGAGTATAAAGGTATTTGACTTGTGAAAGTATTACTGAAGCTTTTCCACTACTACTCAACTTTAAGTCACGGATTCCTTCTAGTGGACATATTAAGAGAATCCATGATCTTGCACCACTAAGAGATCTAAACAAGCTGTAATTTGCCCCCAAACAAATGCCTGGCCTGGGCCAAAGGAAGGCTTACACTAGCCATCTAGCATGCCTGCCACTAGGCATAAAAACCTCAGGGTCATTTCAGATTAGGGGATGGAAATATTTCTTTTAGCATTCATGATCAAGTAAAGGATATGGAAATATTTTTAAATTTTCATTTATACATAAAAATGATATCTTCTTTAAAATTCAAATATGAAATATGAGATTCAAGTAAAACAGACTGAATAATGTTCCTGTACTTTGTACCTGGAAATAAAGAGACTAAATAGTAAAAACAAACACTAAGCCCAAAGAGATGATCCAGACTAAAATTAACTGAATAAATTTATTTTAGAAGGCAATTAAAGTTTGAAGTAAGAATAAAAAAAAGAACTGGTAGATAGCAAACCAAATACAAAATTATTTAAAAGAATGGTTTAAAAAATCCTACCTTATTTGTTGTATAGCTATCCCAAATAATTAATTTTCCATCTTGGGAAGCACTGACTAGTAGCCTAGAGGAAGAAATACAAAAATAATTTGACACTTAGAGGAAAAAGAGAGTTTAAATTAGGTTTGCACTGCATTAATACAGGATAGTTCAGAGAAGAAAAACAATTTTTGTAATAAACACTTGATACCAGAAAATGTTCTTCCAACTTTTAAAAAATGTATGCTGGATGCCAAAAATTTTGGGCATAAATCATAAAATTAGCTAGTGACTAAAAATATCTCTGGCTATGATTCAATTTTTCCATGGTGACATTTTAGTTATTATTCAAGGTTTTGGTAGATATTAGCAGACTGGATTCTTATTCTGATTTATTTAAATTTAATGACACAGGTTAAGAACAGGTTTACCAACCAAACCTCGTACAATCTAAAACCATCAACTGAGAGTCTGTGAACGCATGGCAGTGTTAACAGGCACAAGGCAGGATATACCTTCTGCTCGGTGTCCTCCTACCATCTGGTGGAAACAAGACTTTTATGTACATTTATGATGAATCAAGTAAGTAAAAAGTGTTAGAAGAGTGTTATAAAAATATCATAGAAGAATGAAAGAGGAAAAATAACTGCTAGGACAAGTCATCAAAAGGATGCATCTTGAAACTGGAATTTTAAGAACTAAAGATAGAGAAAAGTCTATATTCTAGGAGGAGGGTAAATATGATCCATGACAACAGCAGGAAAAATACACTGTTATCCCAGGAATTGATGGTTGATGAGAAACAGGAAAAATAAGCTGAGAAAAGTAGACTGGACTCAAAATGCAGAAAGCTTTTGTTTGCTAGGCTAAGGGGTGTGAATGCTTGAGTAAGTGATTATCACTTATTGAATTTTTAGTTCTGTTCTGGAATTTTATTTTTCACCATGGTAAAAAAACACAAAAAGTGTATAGCAAAAAACAACAACAACAACAACAAAAAACCACTCTGTTTCCTTCCCTGTAGGTAAATAACAACATCATGTAAATTTAACTTTGTTTTTACAAAAGGGAAGATCTGATAGTAGGGTGTAGGATAAACCTAAAGAAATTTCTCCAAAAATAAACTGACATGAGCATATGAGTTGAGAACATTTAGAGAATGAGTCAATAATCAGAATGGATGGGAAGACAATGTCAGATGGGTTTGTTTCTGGGTGATATTTTGGTTTTGAGAAAAATTTTAAGGAAAAGAAGAATCAGAATCACTAACATTATTTCAAGTGCTTGCATTTGGGTTAAAAGTTTGCTGTATCAACAAGGCAACATATTTTATTTTTTTTTTCTTTTATTATTCATATGTGCATACAAGGCTTGGGTCATTTCTCCCCCCCTGCCCCCCACCCCCTCCCTTACCACCCACTCCGCCCCCTCCCTCTCCCCCCACCCCCTCAATACCCAGCAGAAACTATTTTGCCCTTATCTCTAATTTTGTTGAAGAGAGAGTATAAGCTATAATAGGAAGGAACAAGGGTTTTTGCTGGTTGAGATAAGGATAGCTATATAGGGAGTTGACTCACATTAATTTCCTGTGTGTGTGTGTGTTACCTTCTAGGTTAATTCTTTTTGATCTCACCTTTTCTCTAGTTCCTGGTCCCCTTTTCCTATTGGCCTCAGTTGCTTTTAAGGTATCTGCTTTAGTTTCTCTGCGTTAAGGACAACAAATGCTAGCTAGTTTTTTAGGTGTCTTACCTATCCTCACCCCTCCCTTGTGAAGGCAACATACTTTAATCTTAAAAATGAGAATAAAACATTCACCCCAGCTTTATGTCAGTTGTCAATTTCAATTATACAATCTTATCTATCCTCTCCTGAGAAGCACATTCTTGAGTATCTTGTTTATTGTCTGAGAGCAACAAGGAGGCTTCCTCTATGTATACTTTTAGTGTCTTCCAGAAGAAGAGAATGCATCTGCAACTTCTAAAAAATGTCTTGACCCAGTACAATAATAAAATATATACATATATATATAAACAAAACCAAATGTTACCCCATTAATATATAAAATGTTTATGTTTTTACATATCGGTTAAAAAATAAATGTAATTTATTATGGGGCTTTTTTTGGTGGTACTAGGGCTTGAACTCAGGACCTAATGCTTGCTAAGCAGGTGCTCTACCACCTGAACTACTCCACCAGCTTTAAGTGAAATTTAAAAAGGAAAAAAATCATAATGTCTTAAGCCAGCCACTGGTGGTTCCTTCCTACTCAGGAAATAGCGATCAGGAGGATTGCAGCTAGAACCCAGCCTGAGTAAATAAAACCCATCACAAAAAGGACTAGCAGAGTGGCTCAAGTGGTAAGAGCACCTGCCTTGCAAGTGTTGAGGCCCTGAGTTCAAATCCCAATACCACCAAAAAAAGACATGTCTCCTTTTGGATTTTACCCACCAACATGAGTCAATTGCTGAGGCAACAGGCAGACCTGCTACTGCCAGACATGCTGGGAAAAGCAGAGTCTGCACTGCAACCCTAGGAACACAGTGAACAGTGGTGAGCAGGACATCTAAATTGCAAGCCCAAGGTGCTCAGTAATGTAATGCAATCCTTTGTGAATTTAGGTAATAAGAAACTAGAGCAATATCCACTAACTTGCACATGAAAGGTGTTTAACAAACATTTGCTTCTTTTTTTAAAAAAACTTGTTTGTACTGAATCATTTACAAAAATTTATCTCAGAGGCATTTTTAAATAAAAAGTTGGCATTCATACACATAAATTATACTAGTATGAACTTAAAATTCATCATATTTTTCATTTTTTAGCTTGATCTTCTCATAAATCTTTAGCTTCATTGATTTTGGCTGCTACATAAGGAGATCCTCCTTTGATGATTTAAGAGCATAATTTGTCGATAGCATCTCTAATTTTTCCTTTATTGGCAGTAGGGCTTACACCTAGTAGTAATGCTGCTTCTCGTTTTGTCATTTTGGGTTCAAACCCACCTCTTAATAGCCACCACTGAAGGCAGATTTTGGTAGACTTTGAAAAACTTGTTTTACTTGAGGCTTCATATGATTCATGGCTTCTAAGACATATTGGCCTGAAAATCCTGCAGCAGAAATGCTCAGTCCAACTGCAACCACTGTGCTGGCCATGGCTCATGCTCAGCTCCCCTGTCCCCACCCGAGCGCGGTTCATCCCAGTCCAGGCACCACAGCTACCAACTATGCGCCTTTACCAGAAAGCGATGCAGCCACAGCCAGCGAGCACAAGCCCCCAAACACTGGAGCCTTACGAAAACATTTGCTTACTAACTCAAATTTCAAGGTTAATATACAAAAATTGCTTTGGGGCCACATGTGGGTAATACATGTTTATAATCCATCACTTGCGTTTTCTTTGGCTATCTACAGTTATTTATTTTAATTTTTGCACCCAAAATATTGTTTTTTGGTTTTTTTATTTGTTTATTCATATGTGCATATGTGCATACACTGTTTGGGTCATTTCTCCACGCTCCCGCTCTCCCCCTCCCCCCCCCACTCCCTCACTTCCAGGCAGAATAGGTTCAGCAGTTGCTTTTGGCTTAAAAAAAAAGCATAATACCCCAAGGCAAAGAAATCGTTTCCCTTCACAGTTTTCCCAGATCACTTGACAAAGATTTTTTGACAGATAAATTTATTTCCCATATTAAAAGTTTTTAAACTCCAGGCTAGGGGTAAAGCTCAGTAGTAGAGCTCTTGCCTACCATGAATAAGCCCCTGGATTGCTCCTCAGCATCACAAAAAAAAAAAAAGAAGAGAAAGAGTTTTTAGATGGGCATGATGGTATACACCTATAATCCCAACTATTCCGAGGTGTAGGTCAGAGGACGGCTTTGAGCAAAAAGCACAAATCCTGATCTGAAAAATAACTAAAGCAAAAAAAACACTGAGGGTATAGCTCAAGTGACAGAATACCTGTCTAGCAAGCACAAGATCCCTAAGTTCAAACCCCATGCCACCAAAAAAGTCTCTCAACTTTTCAAGTGTCAATGAATACTCTTAGTGAAAGCCAAGTGTTCATATGGGATGCATTTTCTGCAAACACTTCAAATTACGATTTGTTTTTAAACAAAAAATTCTAACAATTCTTAAAACCAATTCTGCTGACAGTTTCAAAATGACAGGCACAAACCTTGAATCATATCCCCAGTGCATGGCATAGATTTTAGCTAGGTGGCCTCGCAACGTCCGCCTTGTTCTCATTTGTATTCGACCCACGGAGTCCGTATTTGATGTGATCTTTAGAAAGCAACAAAAATGTTACTATTTACCTTAGACATAGTTCAGGAGATAAACTAGAAACAACAAGTTAAAAAAAAGCAGACACAAGATTTATAGTAAAGGTAATTTAATACAAATAATTCCACACATCATTATGGAATCAAGTACTGTTTATAAAAACTATGATTAACTTAAAATAATCCTATGCACTATTAAAGATACGAAGACTTTCTCACACTACTAACTAAAAAGAAGAGAAAAACTCCTAAATCTTAGTAAACACTGCACACTAAAGACTAGGAAAGGTAAAGGGGGATAGAGGGAGACTGGGCATCGGGTCTCACAGTGCAAGTCATATAGGAAGAGCAAGTTCTTCTACAGCAGAGTAGAGTGACTATAGTCTACAACAGCCTATTATGCATTTCATACAGAACTAGAAGAGAGGAGCTCAGAGCTTCCCAAACACAAAGCAACAATAAATGTTTAAGGAAAGGGAAATGATAATTACCCTGATTTGATCATTACACACTATATACGTGTATCAAATTTTCACACTGCATGCATAAATACTAAGAAAATACCAGCCACAAATAAAAATCTGTAAGTAGATGATCAAAGATTTAAACATTTATAATTTTATCTATAAGAAAGCCAGTTTTATATGTGTATAGAACAAAAAATATTTCCTTAGTAAAAGTGACGGATATTAATTAAAGTAATGAAACCTTCATACATTTCCACAAGGAAAAACAGGCTTCATCAGGGTATACCAAAAAATATCAGAAATTTGCAAAAAATCAGAAACTACTTAAAAGCAAGCACAAAGTAGATGAGTGTACGTATTTTATAGCATATATTTTTCCATAGACTTCTATTTTAACAGCATTATTTTAAAAACACTTGTGCTGCATAGCATTTCACATAGAGATTTGATTTATTTTCAGTTGGGTACCAACAAAACTAACCTGAATGTCATTTGCATTAGTGTCGGGTTATCTCACATAAATTACTAAAAAAATGAGGAAAAAACAGTTTACCTGAACAAGCGTAGCATCATTACATGCTTTCCTGGCATCCTAGAGTAAAGAAAGATGATTAAAATACACTGAGATGTGGAAACTTCTAAATATGAATAAAATAACATGTTAATGAAAATACAGAAAATACAAATAAACTTTTTTTTGTCCCAAATGATCTTCATTTAAAGCAAAATTTGAGACAAAATTCACATAACATAATTTACTTTTAGGTACGTAATCCAGTGATTTTCACCATATTCACAATGTTGTGTAAACAGCACTGTTATCCAATTTTGAAAGATTTCTATCACTCCCAATAAAAAACTCTATGGTCCATTCTGATTCCCCTCTCACTATCCCTCAACAATCATTAATTTACTCTTTCTATGGCTTTGCCTACTTTTGGACATTTCATACAAATAGTCATATAGTATGTGACTTTCGTGTCTTTCCTTTAGTCTGTGCTCAAGGTTCGGGTACTAATCAGTACCTTGTTCCTTTTATGGCTGAATGATATCTCATTGTATGAATATACCACAATTTGTTTATCCATTAATTAAAATTGATAAACAGAGTTGCTTTTACTTTTTGACAAATAATGGTGCTATGAACATTCACACACAAATTTTTGTGTGTACTTTTGTTTTTAACTCTTTTGGTAATGTATTACCTAAGGGTGGAAAAGGTGGGTGATATGGTAACTCTCTACCTGTCAAATTGCTTTTTCACAGCAGCTCACCATTTTACATTCCCAACAGCAGCATATGAGGGTTCTAATTTCTCAGTTTCATCATATCCTCACCAATACTTATTATTGTCAATTCTGCTTTTAAATTATAGCCATCTTGCGGGTATGACGTGGTGTCTCACTGTGGTTTGATTTGTATTTTTTTCCCTAATGACTAATGATGCTAGTGTCTATGCATGCATGCACTTATTGGGCATAATATATCTTCTATGGAGGACTAGCTCTTCAGAGACTTTGGCAATTATTTAAATTAGGTTGTCTTCTTGTTGTCCAATTATAGGAGTTCTTCACATATATTCTGGATTGCTCTCGTTCTGTTACAGCTGCTTTTTTTTTCTTCTTGATAGAGTCATTTGACACACAAGTTTTTAATTTTGATGTCTGAGTTATCTATTTTTTTCTTTTGTGGTTTGTCCTTTTCTTTTTTCCAGTCATGGGTGTTAAATTCAGGGCCTTGGCATGCTAGACAAATGATCTACCACTGAACTATACCCAGTCCTTGTGTTTGTACTTTTGATGTCATATTTAATTATTGTCTAATCCAAGGTCACAAAGATTTATAACTATGTTTACTTCTAAGAATTTTACATTTTTAAACACTCACAGATCCCATTTTGAGTTATTTTTTGTTCATGGTGTGAGGCAGGAGGGCTAAATTCCTTTTTCTGCAGGTGGTTATCCAATTGTCCCAAAACTGTTTATCAAAGACTATTCTTTTCCTGTTGAATGATCTTGTTACTCTTATTGAAAATCAATAGATCACAGATATATGTACTTAAATCTCACATCACTCCACAAATATATTTTTAATAATTATTTAAAAAAATGTATCCCCCTAATTAAAAATTATCTAGGTTGATTTAATAGGCTCATAGTATTTATAGTTATATATTTTTTTCAGTACTGGGATTTGCACTCAGAGCTTTGAGTCACTCCAGCAGCCCTTTGTAGTGATGGGTTTTTTCAAGATTGGGTCTCAGGAACTATTTGCCTGGAGCTGGCAATCTTCCTGATCTCTGCTTCCTGAGTAGCTAAGGATTACAGATGTGAGCCACTGGTGTCTGGCTTCAGAGTTGTATTTGTTACTAAGTTTCAGCAGAAAACTGAAACTTTTGTTTTACACATATGCCTTACACAGGCAACTGTTAATTGTTGACATTAGAAGGAAATATTTTAAATCCAATATGCAAAAAAAAAATTTGGTGCTGGGGATCAAACCAGCACTTGCTGTACAACTGAGCTATACTTTCAAGCACAAGAAAATACTTTTTATGTAACAGGAAACAATTTACACTGAGTGACAGCTATTATATATGGGTTTTTTTTTCTGGTGATACTGAGAATTGAACTCAGGGCCTTGTGGCAAGTGCTTTACCACGTGATCCATGCCCCCAAGCCCAGCATCTATATTCTTATTTAAAACAAATTCCCTACAAGTAAATAAAGAGAGCTTAAGTTTTTACATAAACTGAGGGAAGATAATGAAACAGAAATCAATGTAGCAAAATAAGAAAGGCAACAAATAATGTATTCAATAATCAACAAAACATTGTTTTTCTTTCATTTAGGTGTTGGGGATTGAACCCAGGACACCTCATGCATACTAAACAGTATGTTCAACCACTTATCTATACTCCCAATACCAACAAAACATTTGAAACCAAATATATCAGTTAATACCAAATTTAGAGAATTTAGATAAATGCTAGACTTTAAACAATTTTTCCCCTCAAAGGTTAGTGTAGCACCCTCTTTGCCTACAGTGCTTAGTATATTCCTAGGTAAAGAAAAGGCATACAATATTTGTTGAATAAAATGCCTGCCTCAGTTGGCAGTAAAGACTGGATGGAAGATATGATATTTTTGGCTGCTCTTCCAGTCTGTTGATAAACACTTAGACTATCTACATACGGGTGCTCACAGTAGCTGCACAAAAACATGATCTGATTCTCTCATTCTTAGCCAAATTGTGGGTTTAGAGACCTCACCGGGGAAGAAATAATTTAGCCCACTTTCCTGCAATGAAAATAATTTCTAGAAACGAAAGGCCTGATCTATGTTTTAAAATTGTGAACTTGAAGACTAAATTCTAAGAAAAATGGTTCTCTGGAATAAAGTTTTATGAAACTGAACATCATAGGCCATCTTTTTCAATTTAGTCATCTGATAAAAAAATCGGTTAAATAAAAAGATTATTTTAAAAAGGGCTGATGGAGTGGCTCAAGTGGTACAGTGCCTGCCTAGCAAGCCTGAGGCCCTGAGTTCAAACCCCAGTGCCACCAAAAAGAAAATTATTAAAAACTTGGTTGAACACAACATCTCAGGCGTCATTCTATGAACTCCACAGCATAATGAACAAGTAAGAGTCCCTGGCCTCACAGAGCCTACATTAGTATTAAGAATACAATTTTAAAACTATGAATTCAAACTACTGAACTATGGCAAAAATCAGTATCGAAAATTAAATCATGTTGCAATACAAGAATTTTACCAATATCTTAGCAATAGTTACTTGCAAACTTACATTATTCAAATAACTTACTCAGATCAAGAATTTTTATGACTATATCCATCAGAAAACCAAATATAAAAGAATTCTATACTGTTCACCATAACAAAAAAATACAAGATCTGATATTAATGTGTTTGTACAAAAGAAAAAGGTGACATTATTTCTCATTCTAAATCAAAGATGTAACCTTTACAAAAAAGAAAACAAAAATTTGCTTTTTCTATTTGTGTTCTTTTGAGTTTAAAATTAATCATCTAGGATACTAAATAGCATACATTTCCATTATGCCATGCATTTATACCATCTAGTATATTATATTTTAGGTAAAAGTATAGTTAGCTTATATTTCTGGAAGGGAGGGGGAAAAGGACAAAAGGAAGGTAGGGTCTTCAAATGTTGTGTTACACTCCTACTGAGGAGAAGAGTCCATTGTGTTTTAACATACATGTGGCTACCGGAAATTACAGAAGAAGATTATCCCTCAAATACCTGTGCCCATGACATTGTGCTTGGGATGTTACTCAGATGGCGAGATGATTCCATTAAAGTAAAGTGGTAGGGGTACTTGTGCACAAGGAACTAAAATATAAGGCAGATTATGATCAGCTCTGTCACAGAAGTCTGATGTGCTACATGAGTAAGGAACTGCACTCATGGCATTAGCTTAAGTCTTTCATGGATTATTTAATTATCTGTACAAACTTACAAAGTAGGCCACAGTATTCTTGCTTCCTGGCAAAGAGAATGAGCGTGAAGAAAGTTAAAAAACTTGACCATGGCAATGGTTTAATGAAGCAGTGGAGGCCATACACATTCTACCATGCCCTGCTGTCTTCTAATAAAACAAAGTGAGTAAATCCAGGTGGAGAACTTTCATAAGGCTTTTAGAGGAGGATTAGAATTCAACAGCTAGGATTTTAAACAGCAAAATTGGACCAGCATTAGTATAACTCCAAGCAAAGGAAGTAATTTGATAAAAGGCAATCAAGTAGGAAAGAGCAATGCATGTTCAAGGAATAGTGAAACGACAGCCAGGCTAGTACAGCCACAGCACAGGTGGTAGGGAAGAATGTTAAATGTGGCTGGGAGGCAGTGCTCCCCAGTGCAAGAGAGCACAGGCTTTGGAGTCAAAGCATAACAGGCCTGAATCCTGGATCTACCTCTTCTACTTATGTTCTTTAGCAAGTTATTTAACCTCACTGAGCCTCCATTTCCTCAACTACAAGATGAAGTAATCCCAGGTACTAGAATTACATAAACTGGGCATGTGGCCAGCCACCAGTCGCTCCTGCTCAGCATCAGAAGTAAGTGACACAAAGAAGAGATAGAGAATTCATTCTGGTGGGACTGGGGATTTAGCTCAGTGGTGAAGTGTTTGCCTACTATGCACAAGGTTCCAGGTTCAATCCCCAGCAATGTAAAAAATAAATAAAATAAGGACTAGTAGAGTGGTTCAAGTGGTAGAGTGCATATCTAGCAAGCATGAGGCCTTGAGTTCAAACTCCAATACCACCAAAAAAGATAAAATAAGCATTCTAGTGGTAGTAATAAAGCCTGAGTATCCCTAGTCTGAAAATCCAAACCCTGAAATGCTCCAGAATCTGAAACTTTTTGAGCACCATCATGATGTCACATGTAGAAAATTCTACACCTGGCCTTATGTCACTAAACATATTGTACAAAGTCACTTTCAGCTATATGCATATGGTATATATGAAACATAAATGAATTTTGTGTCGAGACTTTGTTCCTATCCCCAGGATATCTCATTACATATATGCAATGATTCCAAAGTGCAAAAGATATGATATCCTAACCACATCTGGTCCCAAGTGCTTTGGATAAGGAATACTGAATTGTAACATCTACTTCAGAGATTAGTGAAGTCTTCTGTGTTTACCTCGGCCGAAAATAAAACCTTCCTTTGTTTTGACAACTTTGTTTAAATAAGAAAGATAACAAAACTCAGAGTTTTGTTGTTGTTGTTTGCAGTGCTAGGGACTGAACCCAGGGCCTTGTGTATGCTAAGCAAACACTCTACCACTGAGCTACACTCCCAGCCCTCTCAGTTGATATTCACATCTAAATCATTAATTTCCTTGAATTTCTGGCAATAACTCTGGTTATGACTTTACTTCATTGAGATCAACACTTTGCTGGGGAGTGTTCTTCACCCATCCCTTGTATTTTTCTCCTTTCTTTTCTTTAATATCTCTATATAGATTTTATTCATTTTATTTATTTATTTATTCATTTATTTATTTACTTTCCTGGTGGTACTGGAGTTTCAACTCAGAGACTTATACTTGGCTAGGCAGCCACTCTACCACTAAGCCATGGCCCTATCCCTTTTTTTGCTTTAGCTTTTTTTCAGATAAGATCTAGAGTTTTTACATAGCTAGCTTGCGATCCCCCTACCTACACCTCCCACATAGCTATACCTGCCACCATACCTGGCTTATTTTGTTGAGTTGGGTCTTACTAACTTTGGCCCAGTCTGGTCTTGAACCATTATCCTCTGGATTTCTGCCTCCTGAATAGTTGGGATGACAGCGTGAGCCACCATGCCCAGCCTTATTCTTCACTTTTAGATTATACAAGTTCTTCTGAAATAACTATTGCAAAAGATTCATATTGGGAAGGGACATAACTGTGCTCCAAGTTTTCAGAGATTTGCCCTGCTTTATGCTAAAGTTCTTCATTTATATTCGTAAGTTGTTTTTCCCTGTGAAAGGAAGCAGCCAGCTGCCAGACTACTTACAAACTTGGTCTTTTTCCTTCACCCTCTCATAGTTGGCAGCATTAACTATAACATTTCATTCTTCTGCTTTCTTTGATATTCCTCAGTGCCAACAAGTCCAAGCAAGCATCTGCTTCATAATTTTGAAGAAGGGATTGGAAGGTTTGTCCCTTAGTGAGCACCCCTCCTCTGTGGAGACTGACAGCTTCAGGTGATCCTGTCCAAATTCTGAGAGTTGCATTTGGCAACTCTCCCCATCGTAGTATGCTCTGAAGTTCTAAGTGTCTTTCTTTTGTTTGGTGGCACTGGAGTTTGAACTCAGGGCCTCACGCTTGCTAGGCAGGTGCTCTACTACTTAGGCCATGCTCCCAGTTTTTTTCTTTAGTTATTTTTCAGGTAAGAGCTTGAGTTTTTTTCTCAGGTAGGCTTTAGAGTGCAATCCTCCTATTTATACCTCTGGCATAGCTGGGACCACAGATGCTCACCACTATGCCCACTTAATAATTGAGATGAGGGTCTCACTAATGTTTTGCCCAGGCTGTCTCAAACTGCAACACTCCCAAGTAGCTGGAATTACAGGGATGAGCCACTGTGCCCAGCCTCTAAGTGTTTTTCAATTTCATTAAAGCCAGAGCTTGTACTTGGTCCTTACTTTCTTTTCTGTTTTGAGTTGATTTCCAAGACTAAAATACACCAGACATGTCTTGATTCTATATCATAATTATTGTTTCTGCAATCTAATATTTTAGAGATTGATATTTTCCTAGTATATTACAATGTGATTTATCTGCCTCATTGTATTACACTAAAAATCTGATTCTAGGTGTACAAATAAGAAGAGAATTATGTTTGTCTTTCAGCTGGGGTTAACTTCTCAGGGGCACAGAAGCCATTTGTCTGCACAGGTACTTGTTAGGAATGATTTTAAGAGGCGTGATAAAATCAAATTTATCATTTCTAGTCATAAATTATTTAATATATGTAGTCTAATAAAACTAATACAATTTATACATTGCTGTTACTAAATAAAAGTGTTAAGACTTCAAAATACAAAGTTCTTACCTGGATCTGATTCCTCAGTTGTTCTGCTTCCTGCCTCAACTGTTCCAGTTCACTCATCTTGTGGATCTGTTTCCTTCAGGAATTACCAAGCAAAAACAGCTGTTAAAAACAGAGAGAGACTGAGATTCAGTTTTTCATTTGTATCTCAGTTTACTTTTAAAACACTGATACATAACTTCTTTTTAGTCAAATGCTTAGTAAATGAAGATCCAGATTATTTATTGAAGTGTTCTGTGGACCAATGTGACATGAAAGTTGTTGGTATCAAAATGGAGTCACCTCTGTTAAACCCTAGCAAAATGGAGTCAGAAGCCAAGAAGGAGGAACCTTTACACACACCTGCCTGTTAAGGAACTATTCAAGGAATTCCTCAAAACCACAGTGTTCTAGATAAGCAGCTGACACACAGATACCTGCCTAACAACTGCTGTCTCCTGCAATGAGCCAACACCAATTCCTGCATCAAGCTCCTTCAGACAATGGTCTTTGTCTCAAAACAGCTTATGTGACCTTCTCCCATTTTCCATTTTCTTTCCTCCCTTCTCCTTTTCTTCTTTTCATTTTCTCCCTTTTTCTTACTCTTGTCCCAACCTCTTGAGATACACATATGGTCCCCCACATCATACACACCCCAGAAAGCAATCCCTTATTATTCTAGAAATAATAATTAGGTTAACAGTGATCAGAAGACTGAAGAAAAATCTTGAGTTGTAGTAGTTACCAAATTATAGGGAATTTGTCCTAGACAGGAGTCTAATGAAAAATACTTTAAAAACATCTCCACTTGGGTGTATTTACATGTTCCTTAAGTTAATACTTCAGAACTTAACCCCATTCAACCTCCAAGTCTTCCTCATCTTCGTAAATGGTAATTCCATCCTTTCAACTGTTCAGGCTAAAAACCTGGGAATCATCCTTAATTTCTGTTTCTCTCATACCCTTCCCCATCTAATGCATTAGGAAATCCTGTCAGTTACTCCTTTTAAAAATTATCCAGTATCTGACCCAATTGTGATTACCTCCATTTCCACTACCTAGGTCCAAGCCACCATCATCTCTCACCTGGTCTCTTTTCTATGCCCTTGACTACTCTCCAGTCAAGTCTAAACACACAAGTAGTGATCCTTTGAAAAAAAAATACAAGTTACTCTTTAGCTTTAAATCCTTCAGCGGTACTCAGAGAAAAGGCAAACTTTTTACCTTGACCTCCAGAGCACTGCATAATCTCTCTCTGAATCTCTTACTCCCTCCCTTTCCCTCTCTTATATTCACAAGCACATCTCCGCTTTCCTCTTCCCTCCCTCCTGTGTGTCCTCCAGCTGCTTAAAAGCTTTCTTGATGCTCCTTAAACACACTAAGTATCCTCCAGCCTCATGTCTCTCATTCACTCTTCCCTCTGCCTGACCCACTCTTGTCCCTGTCATTTTCATTGCTTGCACCCTTCACTCTGCTCAAATGTAACCCTCTCAGAGGGACCTTTGCTGATGCACCCATGTGCCCAACCACTCTCCCTTTCTAGGCCACTTGTCCTGTCTTATTTTTTACTAAAGACTCACATTATTTAGAATGTATTTACTTATTTGTAGTCTGTTTCCTCCTGATAAAATATAAGCTCCTTGAATCAGGATCTGTTTGTTTTATACTTTGCCACAGCACCTGAGACACTTTGGTCTCCAGTAAATAAGCTAACCTGAAATAGCTCAGAAAATCTATTCTAAGGAATGAGAATAAATCACAGAATCAAAAATCAGGAATATTACTATCTCAGGAAGAGACTAGACTCTTCTGCCAATGTCTTTTTACATCTTATTTGTTCAAATCAGAAACCAATTAAAGATTAAACTTTTGGTTATTAAGACTCTTTTATCTACAAGTATACAACTTTTGCTTTTTTTCCCCCTCCTATGATATTGACTGAGCCACTTGTTCTTAGAATAACCTATGTTTTGATACTTCCTTATGCTACCATTTAACCTGTTCCTTTGTCCTCACCACTGTCTATAAACTGGAAGTTAGGTTCATAGGCTAGAATATATTTGGGTTTGATATATGTATCTGGCAAGAATCCTTCTAAGTGATCTATACACTTCATACTAAGTTACATCAGAATGAACATAATGTTTATGTCACTATTAGTGGCGTTAAGATTGGTGAATGTGTTTGGGTGCTCCTCGTATAGGTTATCTATCTACTACAAAGTTGTAGCCTCCCACTTTGACCCAGCAAATAATCTGTAGGGATTATTTGCTTTGACTTTCAACTGGATATATACTATCAGCAGTTAAACATGCCCAGTCTCTCTTTTAAAGGAAAAAGAAAACAAGAAAAGAGAGAGAAGGCAGTCAGAGGCTACAGCAACTACTGTTCAAGTAGGCACAGGTGTAGCTCACACAGGTGGTAAAACTTGGTATTGTCCACAGTAAGCTGGTCTGCTGGTATGCAGACTATGAGTTAAGGGGTCATGGCAGCTTCCACCAAGATTTCAAAGGAAAACCTGGGTGGCCAGGTAGTGTGTGAGGTCAGAGGCCCTGTAAAAGGTACACCAGAGGGTGATGCATAATGGAGATGTGGGAGTGAGGGTGAGGTTTCAGTGGAGACAAAGGGAAGGTAAAGATGCCAGAAATGTGTAATGTTTGTCAGGGAAAGCCATAGGCAATAGGCAAAGCTAGCCCAAGATAGGGCCATGTGAGCTGCAACCAGCAAGGCTGTAAGAATGGGGGTGCTCAAACCCTCAAGGGCCCATACCCTGCCACAGTGATGGGGAGCTTTAGGATTTAATGTCTGCCCTACTGGGGTTTGGCCTGGGCTCTAGGATGACCCCTTACTATTTTCTCGTTCTTCCCTTTTGGAATAAGAATGTTTGCCCTGTGCCTGTCTCACCATTGTGTCTTGGATATAACTTCCTTTTTGATTTTTACTGAGGCTCACAGTTCAGTTTACCTAGAGTCTTTGAGCAGACTTTTCAGCAATGCTGGAATAGTTAAGACTTTGGGGGCTCATGAGGATGGACTGAATGCATTTGCATTATGAGATGGACATGAATCTTTGGGAGCCAGAGCTGGAATGCTTTGATGTGGATGTGTCTCCCAAAGGTCTGTGTGTTAAAGTCTTGGTTCCCACGGTGCTGCTATTGAGAAGTAATGAAATCTTTAGGAGGTAGGGTTTTATGGAGGCCCTTAGGTCCCCGGGGCATGCCCTTGAAAGGACTGTGGGATCCCAGCCTGTCTTCTCCCCTCTTTGCCTCCCATCTGATAAAGTGAGTGGTTTGCTCTACCATAGTCCAGCCATGGTGTGGTCCCTTGCCAGAACCCCAAAGAAATGGGACCAATTAATCATGGACTAGGAACCTCCAAATCCGTGACCCAATATAAACCCTTTCTCTGTTTAAAAAAAAAAAAATTCCTTGACTGCACATTTCACCGTCACTTAAGATAGTCTTTCTTTTCTTCATTGAGAACTTTTAAAGAAAACCAACAATACATAACCCTATTTCCCACGTGGAATTCTGAGTTCTTGAGCCTCAATCATGTCCAACAGATTTCAACTGAACTTCGCAGGCATGATGGAAAGGGATCAGGCAGTTACAAGGCAAGAGGCTGTCTGAACAATGTTTTAAGTTGCAAAACCAGAGCCCTGTGATTCTTGTGTGGGACAATGGCAAACTTTCTTTGGATGATGCTGTGTCTCTCCCATGCTCTGCCCTTTCCTCCTGTGCTGAAAGATGAGCTTTTTATTCCTTAAAAAATGATTAGTTTTGTCACTTAGGAGAGAGAATATATTGATGACACCTATTTCCTGTATTAATCTTTTCTTCTCATCCAACAATCACTGGATTCTTGAGAGTACCTACAAAGTGTGACTATAACATAAACTCGCTGATAAACTATTCCCAGACAAGCCCAGAGGCTATCTAAGGTAAAATGAGGCCATAAAATATCTCAGGTAAAACATAATATGATTAAGTCCTAGTAAATTATGTTTTGAAGGTAACGATCCAAAGAAACAGGCAAAGATTGTGGCATGCATTTATATAATTTGACTGTAGGAGTTTAGGACTCTTGGGAATGATATTTTTTGCTTCAGGTTTAGTTTACTAAGCAGTTCCCCTACTGTACACTGAAAGCATGCTCCAGCTCTGAGAGGTGACGTCCTCAGAAACACTTCTCTTAACCAAGAGAAAACACAGTCATCTTCTACCTGTCCTCCTGAAGTCCCTTTATGCCCACAATTTTAAAAAGAACAGAAAACTCAGAAATAGCAAAGTATTTTCTAAAACGTTGCATTCCCAATGTGGGAAAAAGGAAAATATGGACAGCAAGGTATGGAAGAGGGCTGCGATAAATACAAATTATCATCCTCTACTGAAGAAGTCCTTCATCAGGGCCTCACCAGACAGACTACTGTCACATACATCAGCTGGGTTTTTCTTATTTAAAGCTTTAAATTACCAAGATCTCAACCAAGATGGTAGTAAACCAAAACCAACCTCTCATTGGCCAGACTTTTCCCTAAATTTGTGACAAGGGAAGCAATTATACACAGAAATTAATCTTTTCCATCTTCACTGCTATAGGCATAACAGAAAACTATGTGTGATGTCTCCCAAGGACCAAGATCTGATATATGGACCCCAATGCTAAAGACACAGATGCACTGAGCATGCAGTTTAAAAAAACTAACACATAGGAGCAGAATCTCCCTAAAGGTTTACTAACAGCTTCATGATCAGCATCACCCCCCCATACACACCTACTGCTGCTGCTGATTTTAAAAAATTATTCCTAAATACAAGATGACTGGAGAAAGGAGAAAAGGTCAAGTATAAGAGCTAGCAGCTTCCGCTGGGTAAATACAGTTTATTATGATGAGAAGAGAGTTTCTCCTCTACCCTTAAGAAGGGGAAAAAAAGAAAAAATGTGAAATCAAAAAAAGAAGTTTCAGACTGGGAAAAGATCACTGTGAAGTAAAATTCCAATGAAGGACAGTCACCTAGAATTTTAAAAGAAATTACTTCAAACTGACAACAAAAATGACTAACACTCCAACCGGAAAATGTGCAAAGATACAAATTGATAACCCACAGCAGGAGAAACTGCAGA